TGTGTAAAAATAGTAATAAGTAATCAAAATGACAATATATTTTTTTAATTTTATAACATTGCCTCCACTGGCCATAAAGGTTCCCGAAACGTTCCATGGACCAGCAGTTGATAATCACACTTGTAGCTTTTTCTGCAGCTCTGGACACATTTTATTAGTGAGCCAAGGAGCAGAAATGGCTCTTTTGATCATGAAGGTTGCAGAACCCTGCACTAAATGCTTTCATGAGAGAATTAGTTGAATAGTTTGTTGGAGAGTCTGTAGCTGCAGGATTCTCAACTCTGTGAGAAAAAAACTGAGATAAAACCTTTAGAAATGAGTTTTACATGGAATAAAATGATGTACAGAAGAGCATTGCATTCACCAAAGAAGAAAAATAGACTCCTTATTTTGTAGTTACAAGATCGGGATCTCATAATTACGAGAAATTAAGTAAAAAGGAGTACTCCTTGAGGATGTACGTATGATCGTGAGCAGATACCGGATGTAAAAACTGGAACTATTGTTTTGAGTTTATGTTCCACCCGGATGTGTTATCATGTGATACCAAAGCGAGCTGAATGTTTACCCACTAGAGTTGAATAAAGTTAAAGCCTGCAGGATTGAAACTGGACCAAGTGTGTGCTCTTTATGTACGTTCAGGAGGTAATATAACAGTGGATAGTTCTTTGGGACACCACCAAGTCAGCCTGGGTGTATTTCAGGATGAAGCATCCTGGTTTAATTGCTTCTGCAGGAAGAGAGTGACTTCCAGCAGCTCARAGTAGGCTTTCCTCCTGAACAACCCCTAGGACTTAAGATACCTGCACAATRTCGACATACTAATATTCAGTTGTGAGCAGTAACAGAGTACATTTACTTGAGTACTGTACTTAAGTACATTTTTTGAGTATCTTTACTCAAAAAGTCATTATTTTTGGGGGAGCTTATGACTTTCACTCCACTACATTTGTAGGAAGCTTGTAGTTACTCGTTCCTTTTGGCCCAACATAGCTTTGTAATCCGCTGTTGCGCTTTTTCTTTTTTTGAAATGCAATTGGCCAAATGCTATGTTCCTCACAGGGGGAACCAATCACAGTCATAGCTCACACCTGGGATAGATTTGGAATTACGTCATCCTTGTTAACGATCGCGAGCTGAGCTCTCTCCATCATTTCAAACAGAACCCAGCAACGGAGACGGTTGTAGAAGCTCAAGCAGAGAAACCAGCGCWCCCATGACCAGCCAGCTTGGTGTTTAAGATATTAGGACTGAAAAATACTTYGTATCAGTTTAAACGTCTTCTGTTTTCACCGTTGATAAACTACACTTCTGCATTTAAGTACTCACCGCTAACTTTATTGTATTTTTATGCTGAAGTCTTTACAGATGGTGTAGAATTTGTAGAGTGACRTGTCGATACATCAGGTGGTTTCTGAGAGACAAGATTCTGTCATACTTTAACTTGAGTAGATTTTTGACTGAGCAACCTTTACTTGTGGTTGAGTAAGATTTGACCATGAGTATCAATACTTTTACTCAAGTACTAGAGGTGAGTACTTTGTCCACCACTGCTATTATTAATGCCATCCACATGAAGTMAACTCAATATTTCCCAGTGTCTCATAYGCACTTTGAAGTGTATTCTGTAAGATTAAAAAGAAAGTAAACCCACAGAGATCATGATTAGGTGGTGCTAAATGCTCAGCCTGTTTAAAATATCTACTTAAAATAAATTAAATCTGTCAAAAGTGCTAAACGACATAAGTTCTGCAAAATCTAAGGTCAAAAAAATTAACCCGCGCTGCTTTTCCTGGAAGCACGATTTGGTCTTACCATCCTCTGAGACCGAGTAGCATTAAGAAAATATTTTCTGTATGATTTTCCTTTGCCCTCTGGAATCTGTAAAATGTCTGTCACTTTACGTTTTGCTGCTCGTGGGACAGACTGTAACACAAACACTGTTGAACGCTGCACAAACATGCTTTCAGTTTGTCATTTTCACAGACTGTCTTCCCATTCAGTTCGATCTTGTCTGTGTTATTYTTATTTTAATCTCATGACCCGCCGCTGAAACTCCTCAAACGTCAGTCAKCTTCAAATCAGCTCCTCCGTATAGGGAGTAGAGAGGACGTTTATGCTTCTGAGCCAAGTGTGCTTGCTCGTTTTCRCTTCTACCTTCAGTAACTTTATCAGTCGTCTTACATAAAGAGCAGAGGTCGGGTCTTTTTATGTTCCACACAGGTGAGAGTGACAAAGGTCCTCATYGGATCTTCCTCATGCTCTGATAAAGATGTTCATATTTTGCAGGTGGGAACTCTGTGTTCTCACTAAAAATACTTACTGATGACGGTGCTCAGTTTGTGCTAGGGCCGGCTTTAGCCAATTTGGCAGTCTAGGCAAGATTTCAGGTAGCCCYCCTTGTGCAGTTTTTTAAATCTCACTACCAGTTTACATTTGTATTGAAATAATTTTGGCTGTATATTGTTTTTATCTTTARAAACCAGGTTGAGKTAAAATAGTTAATACAGTTAATATAATTCATGTGTAACAGAATGGCAGAAGTCTTCATCATGCCTGCCACCATCCAGCAGTGCAGTTCTAGCGGGGTCCTGGGGTATACTCCTGCAGAAAATCAGTTTAATTTTCCAGCAATTTGAAGAACATTTTTACTATATTCTTGGGATTAAAAAAAACACATAAAATCAGCATTTTCTGAAAGCAGAACACTGAAAACCAGATCAGACCAGGGATCATAGCTAAAGGCTCCCACATTCTCGTGTGGACTGTGCGCAGTCTGTGAGCGGCGCGGACTCCGCGCATAATGTCCGCGGTTGTTTGAGACTTCATACTAGAGTGTACTGACCGCCTGATAAATTCTTTAATTTCTCACAATTTCAGTCATGGTGTCAAGGAYRGGAAGGAWGAGATRGTTTGCATTTTAGCTTTAAAACAACAAAAGAAAAKAACTACTTACCCAGGATCTGAGCYATTTCCTCCCACAAATTAGTTGCTCACTGAAAGTTTTTATATTCCATCTTTGATGCATCATAAAGTTTTCTAATCTCCTCCATGAGTCGCTCTTCAAAATTTGACTCCATGACGTCCACAAATGACACCGATTCTCAACTTTATCTGCTTGGTGTCACATCCAAAACAGTTTGACGTGAACTCGCCGGGCAGTTGATTGTGCGACACCGCAGACGCAGACGTAAAAAATTGATCTCTGCGTGGACCAGTCCAGTGGACGGCTGCTTCGAATACGCATTGAGTCTGCCTCGAGTCCACGCAGAGCAAAGTACGCCCGAGTATGTGGAGGCCTTAAAACTTTCATTATCCTTCTTTTTTCTTTTTTTAATGTACACTCAGCACCAGTAGTTAGTCTTGACTTAATCATATGATACATTTTTATGTCCCCCATTTGTGGCACCCCCTAGATGTACAGCACCCTTAGCGTTTGCCTACACTGCCTATGCCACAGACCGGCCCTGTTAACAGGCCGTGTATAAAATCTTATTTTTGTTTATTGATGCTGTTAAAATTGACTGTAATGGYAAATGAACTGTACTAATATAGCACCTTTCTAGCCAGCTAAGAAAAAATATTGTCCATCTTTTCCAAATTATTCTTTTAAATAAAAGTACAAAAACAACCAGCTAAAATAGCCTCTTTGAGCTCAAACCAAAATGCAAATTCTTCGTCTTTTTTCAGAATTTTAAGGTCACAGTCAAGATCAAATTAGGATTTTTTWATGCTTCTTTAGTTACTTAATTCTTAAAGTTTATGTGAAGTGTTTGTAGAAGATGTCATGACAGAGGAAGACGTGCACGTTGGTCGATGTTCCTGTGCTGTGCTGGCCTCTCTTTCTCTGGGTGTTTCAGAGTTATTGCATGCTTAAGGACTTCTTTAGCTTGATTAGTTTAACCCATGAAGCTCTGTGTAGGTTTRTCAGTGATACAATTTACAATAAAAAAAGACTTTGGCACCAGTTATGGTCTCGTGGTGCAGCCATTATCAACAGCTCATTTTTATAACTTAAATCTATTTCTCCAAAATATGAGATTAGTGATCCTGGTTCAGTTTCAGTCTGTATCATGTGAGGACACTGAGGAAGCAATCGGCTGCAGTGCAATAAAACATTTGATTCTGTTCTTCCCAGGACCAAAGAGGCCAACACATCAGCTGAGACGCATTGATGATGTACCTGTGTTCTCTAAAAACAAACACATGCTTTCACACACGCATTCAGCCCCTGAAACACATGCATGCACACGTGCGCACCGACATCCTTTGTTTTCTAACATCCAGGGGTATCTGCATGCAAACGGCCCATTCTGAGACAATCTGATCATGCRGAGGAGGTTTGCCCGGTCCGCTCCTTCGCTCAGTGAGAATATCGCCAGGGCGGAATGGAAACTTCATTTTGAAGGGGCTAATATTAGCCCGGGCCTCTGGAAAATTCCTTTTAAATGATCACAAGCTGAGAAAAGGCAAAGAATTTGTTTAGTGTTTGGCCTGACAGTATTCTCTGCACACACGGCAGTTTGTTTCTCAATCTTTTTTTATTATTATTATTTTCAGATGGTACAGCACACAGGAGGGTCCTGGGAACACAGATCTGGAGGCAYGGGGAGCCAAAAGGACTGAAATGATGAAATATAGGACCGTCTGACTGTATATCTCTCTGACTGAATCACTTTTTCCTGGCTCTGTTAACCGTTGGACTCTTTACTGCTTTATCTCAAACTGCTGATCTTTTATCTGAGCAAGAATCAGTTTTATCTTTACATCACTTTATGTCACCTGTAACTCTTCAAGCATCTCTGCAGTGATGAAGCTCACAGCAGTACTGTATTTATTTTATGGGAAAATAAACTGTAATAAACACGGTATTCATTTATGACTTGGGTTTACTACAGACAGAAGTGACTCTGTCTCACAGTGACCTCAGGAGGTCACTGTGACCTCCTGCTCAGACTTTATGATTTTATGACCTTAACTTTGTAACCTGTGTGTGTTAGGAAAATCCCACCTGGCCATAGTTCAGAGGGTGAACAACGAAGGCGAGGGCGACCCTTTCTATGAGGTTCTGGGAATCGTCACCCTGGAGGAYGTCATTGAAGAAATAATCAAGTCCGAGATCCTGGATGAGACGGACTTATACAGTAGGTCCTCCTCTCTGAGCTCTTCCAAAAAATTAAACTGTTGTGAATTTGATGTCTCTATGAGCGCAGAAAACTTAATTTTAGCCTGTCCCGGTGCTGCAAAGATACCTTTATATTCTGTTTGGGTCAGTTTTCTCTATTTTCTGTGATGTTTTCTGGAATATTACGTCACRCTTTTTGCGRCAGAACTGCCAAATAAGGTCTGCATGTCCACTTTGAAACTAATTATAGTTATAGCGTTCCTGCTCCTCCATCATGTCCAACTAAAGTCCTTCCAGGTCTTTAAAGTTTCCTCACAAAACGAGGGCTTTGTTATCAAAATGCAGCCGTTTTTTGACGGACATTATAGTATTATATGCTCTAATGCAGTGTTTCCCAAAGTTGGGATCGGGACCCAAAGTGGTGTCCCGAAACATCAAGGTGGGGTCCTGAAAAGATTTTCTGAATTAATTACATTTTTACCTTAGTTGTTACAAAGAAGTGAGGTTATTATGGATAAATGTAGTATAAAAAACGTTGTTACTATGCCCATGTTTTGTTGACCTGATAGATATGTTTATCATCCAAAAATATCTGGGGGCACAGGTCTCTGCTACTGTTATTTTGTGGGTC